TATTGGGTGTTTACCATGGTTATATCCTCTTGTTGGATCGATCCCTTTAGTAGTATGTAGTGCCTTCTTTGTCTCTTGTTATGGCCTTTGTTTTGAAGTCTGTTTTGTGTGATATGAATATTGCTACTCCAGTTTTTTTTTTCCCTTTTCATTTTTATGGAATATTTTTTTTCCATCCCTTAACTCTCATTCTCTGTATCTTTGGTTCTGAGGTTGATCTCTTGTAGACAGCAGGTATATGGGTCATATTTTCTTATCCATTCAGTCACCCTGGGTCTTTTGACTGGACCATTTAATCAATTTAATGTAAGGTTATTTTTGGTAAGTATTTATATATTGCCATTTTTATTGTCTTTATGCCTATGATCTCCTCTCTGTCCTTCTTCTTGAAGCAGTCCCTTTAACATTTCTTGCATTGATAGTTTGGTGGTAATGTACTCTCTTACACTTTTTTTTTGTCTAGAAAGCTTTTTATTTCACCTTCAATCTTAAATGATAACCTTGGTCTTTAATGTTTGCGACGTTTTAATTATGATGTGTCTAGGTGTGGGTCTCTTTGGGTTCATCTTGACTGGGATGCTCTGTGCCTCCTGAACTTCTGTGACATTTTCTTTCACCACGTTGGGGAAGTTTTCTATCATTTCTTTAAACAGTTTCTCTGTTCCTTGCTCTCCTTCTTTCCCTTCTGGTGTTCCTATAATGTGAATGTTGTTATATTTCATGTTGTCCCAGAGCTGCCTTATTCTATCTTCCAGCTTTTTAATTTTTTTTTTCTATTTGCTGCTCTAAGTGGGTATTTATTTCTATTTTGTCTTACAAATTACTGATTCAATCCTCTGCTTCACTGAATCTACTTTTAATTCCTTCTAGTGTGTTCTTTTTAAAATATATATATTTATAGTGATTTCAGAGAGGAAGGGAGAGGGAGAGAAAAAGAAACATCAATGAGAGAGAATCATTGATTGGCTTCCTCCTGCACGCCCACCACCGGGGATTGAACCCAAAACCTGGGCCTGTGCCCTTAACCAGAATCAAACCCAGGACCGATGCTCTATCCACTAAGCCCAACCACTTAGAGCCCTTCTAATGTGTTATTGATGTCAAATATATTATTCTTCATTTCTGTCTGGTTCTGGTTCATGGTTTCTTTTTCCTTTGTCATGCTGCTGCAGTTCTCATTGAGTTCCTTGTAATTTGCACTAAGCTCCTTAAGCACCTTTATAACTATTACTTTGAACTCTGTGTGTGATAGGTTGTTTGCCTCCATTTCATTTAGTTCTTTTTCTGGGGATTCCTTCTTTATTTCATTTGGGGGTTGTTTCTTTGTCTCCCAATTTTAGCTGTCTTTTTGTATTTGCTCTTATGTATTAGATAGTACTGTTATGCCTCCCAGTCTTTGTGGGATGGCCTTATGTAGAAATTGTCTTGAAGGGTCCAGTGGTGCAGTCTCTTTGATTTCCTGAGCTGGATGCTCTAGGAATCCCCCTCGTGTGTGATATTTGGGCTCTCCTATTGTAATTTGGACTTCATTGTTAATGTCCCATTCATGGGAGGGATCTCCCCTCCAACTTGCTGCCAGGGAGGCTCAACACCAATGTCATTGTCCTAGCTGTTATACAGGTGCTGATATATCAGAACAATACATAACAGGACCCAACAAAAAACACCAGGAAAATCAAGCTACACAATACAACAGCAACAGGAAAACTAAGAAGGAAAAAGAAAGCAAAGCAAAGAAAAAAGTAAAAAGATTACTAAAAGACACACCATCAAAGAGTTAGAGGGGATATAAAGAAAAATGGAGAAAGAAGAAAGCAGCAGAAATGGCTATATTGAAGTAAGGAGGAAGTTAATAGAACTAGTATAGGAAGAAAAAAGAAAACAAAATAAATGCAATAATAATAATGAATTTAAAATGTAGAAATATGGATATATTCAGATATAGATGGAAAAAGTAAAACAAGAAATGAGAAAAACAAAATAAGAAAAAAATTAATAAAAAGAGACAAAAGTAGAATAGAATCAAAGGAAAGAGAGAAATTAGAGATATGCAAGAAAAAAGAGAAAACAGGAAATAAGGGGGGAATACAAACAAATAATAACAAAACCAAAAAAAGCCACACATACACACACAAAAGAACAAAACTGCACACATTCACACATTCTAAAACCTTTGGGTTTGGTGTTTGTGGAGCTCACTGGATTTTGCTCTGATGTTGCTGAGTCTGGTCCCTTGGTGTGTCTATCCTGGGCCTCCTAGGAGTTTCTCTAGTTCAGGCCAGTGTGAGTCACTGTCCCTTTCTGGGCCTGGACAACCTGATTGAGGTCCGATAGGTTGAAGCCTCTAGTAGTCCAGTGGGCAGCACCTCCTTAGCCTACAGGCTGGATCCGCCTTGAGTCTCATGCCTTGATTGTCCCTGTTCTGAGCTGTTCTCCCTTCCTCCATGGAGTTGGGCTCTGCAGGGGTATGTTGGTCTTACCCAGGATGGTTTGATCAGATTTGTGTTGGGGGTGGCGCAGTAGCTATTAGGAGGGGTGGGCGGGGCACTTCCTCTTTTTCTAATGCCTCAACTATGCCTGGTTTGCTGGCATTTCCTCTTTGCCAACTACAGGGACACAGATTTCCCACCCTAGGCTGTTCCCCCTTGCAATTAGTCACTGCAGGTCAGGTCAGAGCAGTTGTTTTGACGGTGATAAAGAGGGCACCTCCTTTATTCCATTTGGGCAGGGCTGACCCTCCTTCCTGGTTCTACTGTCCAGTCCCCTTTCTCACCAGTACATGTCCCTCCAAGGAATAGAGGATCTCCCAGATTCAATGTTGGGTGTGTCCTTCAGAACCCTCCAGTATAGGCTGACTCTGAGCTCCACTGTGTGGCCCTTCCCACTGGTCAAGAGGAGCTCCCCAGGCTACACTGTGGCCCTAGACAACCTGATTGAAGTTGCGCTAGTGCTACTCTATCCAGGGACTTCAGCCCCAGGTTTCCACTGCTGCACCCACTCTGTTTCCACAGCCAGTGCCCTAGGGGCCTCCTCTCTCAGTCCCAGGTCCTCCCATCTCACCTACAGATTTGCAGTCTCTTTAGTCTCCACAGGTCCTCAGTTCTAATAGGTCCAGGTCAGGGGAGGCTACATCCACCTCCCAGCCTTCAGCACAGTTCTTGTTCCCTAGCCCTGGTGGTGGACTGAGCAGCTAGGCTTTACGGCGGCAGTGGCAGCACAGTAACGGTATCAGTGGGTGAGTATACAGCAGGGGCGAGAGTCCTGCCACATCAGTGGTGGTCACATTGTGGTGGCACAGAATCCAGGCTGGGTCCCCATTGGACACACAGGTCAGGCTGGGTGCATGCCAAGCATATGGAGGTCCCGCCAGTGTCTACAGCATTCGTGCAGGGTCTGGTTTGTGACCTATGTGGTTGCATGGGGATGGTGGCAGGGTGCATGGGTTGCATGGGTTTGGGCCAAGGCTGCAATGAGTCCAGGTTGTGGCGAGGCTTGGCGCAGAGCCGCTGCCACTCCCCACGACCTCCTCCCAAGAGGACCTTGTAACCCCTTCAAGATGGTGTGCTTGCCAAGCTGGAGGTGCACCCAGAGAGTGGCTGTGGTGATAGCAGCAGCTACTTCTGGCAGTAGCTCAGGGCCCTGCAGGTGTCAGCTGTCGGTGCATGGGGTCACACAGTCAGCTGAGGAGTGTGGGGTCCCACTGGTGTTAACTGTAGGCACAGAGTCCACGCAGTGTCTGCACAGGGCACGCACAATATTTTGGGCGCAGTGTGCATGGGTCTGGGGGTGTGTGCCTGTGGGTTTGCACCTGGGCTTCGGGCTAGTCTGGGTGGTGTAAGGCTGAGCGCCTAGCCACTGCTGCTCCACACAGCCTCCTCTGAAGGAGGACCTTGTAAACCTTTCAAGATGGGGAGGTCTTGGGGCCAGAGCAGGGCCCAGGGTATGACTGTGGAGGTAGCAGCATCTCTTTGTCCAGGAAAGCCAGAACCACCTGCTCCAAGACTCCTGTACAATTGGACTGTCACACACACACACACACACACACACACACACACACACACACATGCAGGTCCACACACTCGCCTTATCACTTCCTCACTCACACTCCCTCACTCTGACCTGCCGGCTGCCATGTTGGAATCTTCCCTGTATATCTCTATCATAATTATCTTTTATTTAATTTGTGTATTTAGGCCATTTATATTTACTACTAGAGGCCCAGTGCACAAAACTGTGTGCACTCTGGGGGAGCTCTGCTCAGCCACAAACCAGGCTGAAGGCTGCCAGCGCAGTGGTGGTGGCAGGAGCCTCTCCCGCCTCCTAAGAAGCGCTAAGGATGTCTGACTGCAGCTTAGGCCTGCTCCCCACTGGTAAGTGGACACCCTACGAGGGGTCCCAGGCTGCCAGAGGGATGTCTGACTGCCAGCATAAAGAGGGTGGGCTGATGGCCATCTTAGGCCCAGTCTCTCGGGGAGTGGGCCTAAGCCAGCAGGTGGTCATCCCCTGAGGGGTCCCAGACTGCGAGAGGGCACAGACAGGGCTGAGGGCCGACACCCTCGAGTGCACAAATTTTTGTGCACTGGGCCTCTAGTATAGACTAAAAGCCTGGTACATGGATGTGGACCAGCTAGTTTGCCCTGAAGGGTGTCCCAGATCAGGGTGGGGGTCCCGCTGGGGTGCCTGGTCAGCCTGGGTGAGGGCCTGAGGGCTGTTTGCAGGCTGGCCTAGCCCCACCTCGGGGACCCTCACCCCATGGGCATGTGGCCAGCTTGGGTGAGGGGCTGAGGGCTGTTTTCAGGCTGGCCACATCCCTTTTAGGGTGGAGGTCCCCGCTGGGGTGCCTGGCCAACCTGGGTGAGGGGCTGATGGCTGTTTGCGGGCTGGCCACACCCCCTTCAGGGTGGAAGGGGGGGTGTCTCACTACAGTGCCTTGCCAGCCTGGGTGAGGGGATGAGGGCCGTTTTCAGGTTAATTTGCATCTTTCTCTTTTATTAATGTAGATAACTTCTAGAGGCCTGGTGCACGAAATTCTTGCACAGGTGCGGTTCCTAGACCTGACCAGCTATCGAAGCTCAAATATCTGGCATGGAAGGAAAGGTCCCACCTAACCTCTGGGCCCTGGACAGCACCTGGGCCCACAGGCTCCCGCACGACCCCTTCCACCTGAGTCGTGATGCCCAAGTCCCCATGCGGAGATACGGTGAGCACCATGGGCTGGGGCACAGCATGGGCCTCTGGACCACCCAGTGGTGCTGCATGGAAGCCAGGAGGGCAGCGTGCTCTCTCCTGGATGGCCTCTCAGACTGGCTCCTTCACAAACCCACGGGGAGCCAAACTGGCCCCTGTGGTCCCGGCAGCTGCGGTCTGGCTCACCTGGAATAGACCATGTGGGTGTGGGGCAGGCTCCGTGCAGGAGCCTGGCACCTGAATATAGGGGCTTCTTTGGCGCATGAGCCTTGGCATCCCAGGGAAGGGTAGCAGGGGGAGTGAAAGCAAGCTCCGTGGACATCCCACATTCCCACCACGCCTCCATCCTCATCACCCCACCTCCAGGTAGCCATTGAGAGGTCACAGCCCCCCACGCAGGCACTGCGGGAGGTTGGTCACTGCCACCCACCTCCAGTTTCCTGTCCCAGCCCGGGGTCCAGCCCTGATCAGGTGATCAGGGCCTGCTGGCCACGGGTTGCCATCTGTGGGGTGATCGGTTGGGGCCAGGCCCCCCACCTGGCTCCCTCAGCACCTGGGAGTTGGGCGGTTGCCCCACCCCCCGCTGCCGATTCTGGTCATCATCTGTGGGGTGATCGGGCCCCCACTCGCATCCACCTTGGCCCGGCGCCACCCACTCACCTGCTCCACCATCCCGCAGCGATCCTGCTCTCATCAGAGCCCATCAGGGCCAGCAGTGGCTCCACTGCTGCCCAGCACCGTGTCACCAACACCCACCATGTTCCATGCCGCCCCCTGCTGGTCAGCACACATCATAGAGAGCAGTTGAACTCCTGGTCTCTGGTCAAACGACCACCTGAGGGGAAAATTTGCATATTAAGCTTTTATTATATAGGACTAGAGGCCTGGTGCATGAAATTCATGCATGGGAGAGGGTGTCCCTCAGCCTGGCCTGCACCCTCTACAATCTGGGACCCCACGGGGGATGTCCAACTGCCGAGGCTCCATTTACTTTTGTTGTTCTTGGAGCTATTTTAGGAATTAAGGACATAAACATGTTCCTATAACCCTTATCACTTAGGAAATTACAAAGATTTTAGGATCTCTGTCTAGGAAAGAGACCAAACACCAAATACACATTTCTTATTATATCCCTACATGGGATAGTCCTCCACAACAAAGACTGATTTCCCTCAAAATGTCAGTAATGCCACTTTTTACAAAGATGGTGCCAAAAGCTAAGAAGGAAGTCCCTGTCCCTCCCAAAGCTGAAGCCAAAGCAAAGGCTTTGAAGACATATAAAGCAGTGTTGAAAGGCGTCCACAGCCACACACACACACAAACACACACACACACAGATCCGCATGTCAGCCACATTCCAATGGCCAAAGACACTAAGACTCTGAATGCCGCCTAAATATCCTCAGAAGAGTACACCCAGGAGAAATAAGCTTGACCGCTATGCCATCATCAAATTCCTCCTGACTACCAAGTCAGCCATGAAGAAGATAGAAGGCAACAATACACTTGTGTTCATTGTGGATGTCAAGGCCAACAAGCACCAGATCAAACAGGCTGTGAAGGAGATCTATGACATTAACAGGGCCAAGGTCAACCCCCTGATCAGGCCTGATGGAGAGAAGAAGGTACATGTTCGACTGGCTCCTGACTCTGGTGCTTTGGATATTGCCAACAAAATTGTGGTCATCTAAACTGAGTCCAGCTGCCTAATTCTAAATATAAAAATTTTACACTATAAAAAGAAAAAATGTCAGTAGTGCCATGTTGAAAAATCCTGCTCTAGTCCTATGATTAGAAAAATGAGACTGTTTCTTAAACACTTTCTTATTTAAGGGTAAGACTGTTAACTTAAAAGCAAATCATATTAAATGGCATTTGCTTCCTTGGTTACCTCTGTTATTTAAGGTCAGGCTCCTGAAATTATGCCAGTACCTGAGACAAATTATAAATATTTTAAAAATATGGGCATAAATCAAGTACAAATTTAATTAGCACTAGTGAAGAGGTTTCAGTAATATGGTCAGTTACAAAATAAATAATACAAAAATCAATAGCTTCCCCATGTTTATGCAATAGTAATTTGGAAATATAATGGAAAAAGGTCCCATTAACAATTTCAACTGAAAGTATGAAGTGCCTAGGAATAAACTTTAAAAATGTGCATGACCTACATGAACATAACCTCAAAATTGTATTGAAAAATACTATATAAAGAAGACATGAATAAATGAGGAGACCCACTGAATGTGCTGCGTCAATAGTATACAAATTTCATTTATTTACAAATTAATCTATACACATTTAATGTAATTCTTATAAAACCACACTGGCAATCTTTAGGGGAAGGAGAGGGGGGAGTCACTTAACAATATTCTAAAGTTTAAATGGGGGAATAAATGCATGAGAATCATATCTTGGTTTTTAAAGGAAGTAATGATGGCATGCTTGTAGAAAGTATAAGTTCATTCTCTTCGAGTAAATTTAAAATATTATGTAATATAAAAATAAATGAATACTAGGGACATAATAATTGAAACTTGTATGGAACAGGATAGGAAAAAATCAGTGAAAAATTTTAAAGTACAGAAACAAACCTGGGTTTATGATAACATTTCAAATCTGTTTGGAGAAAGGATGGAGTGATAAATAAATGAATTGCAATAGCCAGACATTTAGGTTATTTGGGGGCAACAGGATTAGTTTTTGCCTAAAATTCCCAATTCCTTTCCAGCATCTCTTTCCTATCCCCTTCACCCAATGGCCCCCTAGATGTTTTGGGTAGGAGAATTTTATGTCATATATTGCCATGAGCAGTTCAACAGTTGGATGCTGGCAGCAGTAGATTCAAATGCAGTTATGTATTTAAGCAGTTTTTCCTTATGAAGAGGAAATAGACCATCTGTAATTATATATTGGCATCTGGAAAAAATTGGTTTAATTCAGCAGAAGCATTTATTGAGCACTTACTGATACTGGAACCAGTGAGTAGGAATTCTTCCCCTGGGTCCTGTCTCATGAAATGCAAAAATGAAGCTCTGGACCAGAGAAGTTCAACAAGGCAGGAGTTTATTGCAAACAAACACAGGCTCCCCGCTCAGAGGGGGTGGGATTCAAATGGGGTGCCCCCACCAACATTCTGCCCTTCACCTTATATCTACTAAAGACATGCTCTTTGTCTATCTGTACTGCTCTCTGATTGGTCCCTGGCCTTTTTGCAACATTTTATTTTGCACTTGCAAGAAAAACAACCTTGTTTAAAAAACCCTGTGTTTCTGCTATCCTGTTTTTCTGCAAAACATTTTGTGATTTCAGCTGGCTCCATGATTCCTCCTCCTTCCACCCCTTACTTGATCTGCTTAATTCTGCTTTAACTCCTTTCATTACTACCATATATCATGTATAATAATCTATAGTGAGAATGAAAAGATGAACTTTGTTTTCAATTAACCAATTAATCTTATTTGTGTCTTTATGTACTTAATTTCTCTAGCTTTATTTCTTTATTTTACTTTTAAATTTAATTTTCCATCAAGCTTCAGTTATTTTAGTCTTTTTTTATTTTAAATTTTAAAGCAAGAGGCAGATGTTTTCTGAGACTTTACTCCAGACTTTCTCACAATTTTATTATTACACTAGAGGCCCGGTGCACAAAAATTTGTGCACTCGGGGGGGGGGGGGGGTCGCTCAGCCCGGCCGCGGCCCTGGCTGGCTGAAAGCAGGTTTCTGGTGTTTGTTTAGCTTCTATAATTGCAACATTGTTTCTTAGAGTGCAAGCTCAGAGCCGGGCCGCGGCAGGAGGGGAACCTTGGCTTCCTCCATCACTGGAGCAAGCAAGCCTCTTGCTCGGTCCAGCTCCGTGGCTGCCAGCTGCCATCTTGGTTGTGTTAATTTGCATATAGTCACTCTGGTTGGCTGGTGGGCATGGCTTAAGGCATAGAGAAAGTATGGTCAATTTGCATGTTTGTCTTTTATTGGTATAGGATGATTCATATACCATATAATTTACCAATTTGAAGTGTACAATTGTTTTTTTAGTTTATTCGCAGAGTTGTGCAGCCATTACCCCAGACATTTTCATCACACAACCCCCCCCCCCACACACACAAAAAGAAACTGTACCCATTAGCAGTTACTGCCTCCCCTGCCCACCCATCCCTGACAACCACTACTCTGGTTTCTGGCTCTATATAGTTCCCTATTCTGGACATTTTATTTAAATGGAACCATACAATGTGTGGTTTTTTGTGATTAGCTTCTTTTACTTAGCATGATGTTTTCAAGGCTCAATCCAGATTTTAGCATGTATCAGTACTTTTCCTTTTTATGACCAAATAAAATTCCATTGTGTGGATGTACCACATTTTATTCATCCATTCATCAATTGATGTTTAGTTGAGTTGTTTATACCTTTTGTCTATTATGAATAATGCTTCTGTGATCATTCATGTACATGTTCTTGTGTGGATATGTTTTCATTTCTCTTGTGTAGATACCTAGGATGGAATTACAGAGTCATATGGTAACCCAATGTTTAACACTTTGAGTAAGTGTCAGAAAGCTTTTCGAAGAGGCTATACCATTTTACGTTTCCATCAACATTGTATGAGGCTTCCAGTTTCCCCACATCCTTACCAGTACTTGATATCTGTCTTTTTTTATAGCCATCTTAGTTGCTATGAAGTGGTATAGCATTGTATTTTTTAATTAAATTTATTGGGGTAACATTGGTTAATAAAATTAAATAGGTTTCAAGTGTACAATTCTTGATACATAATCTGTATATTGCATTGTGTGCCCACCACCCAAAGTCAAATCTTCCTTCACCATTACATTTTTACTACCTATCCCCCTTCCCTCTGGTAAACACCACACTGCTGCCTGTGTCTATTTGTTTTTCTTGTTTGTTCATTTGTTGCTTTCAGTTTTATATCCCACATATGAGTGAAATCATATCGTTCTTTGCAATTTCCTAATGTCTAATGACATTGAGTATGTTTTCACATATTAAATGG